CTGGAGCTGATCCGTGCTGGTTGCTGAGGAAATACTTCAACTTCGAGTGGTCGATGGCTGGATCGGCTTTCACCGTGGACGAAGCTGAGTCCAGCCGGGTCGTCACATGTGGTTGCGCAGCATTCACAATATGGTAAGGGGCTTAACATTTCTGTCACACGCTTGAGGAATTCGGCCAATCACAACGCACTGGATAGCTGGCCAATCACAGCACACCTTGCTTTTTCAGACCGATGAGCTTTGTAAAAATCGACGCGTTTCAGAAAGGCGGGGCATAGAGGAGAAACAATAATGTACAGTATGTGGAAAATAATGTGTTTTTTGAACCTTAAACCACATAAACACATTTCATTACACCAAATACACAAAATAATGTTATTTTTAGCACTTCCCCCTAAATTGAAACACAACTCAGTCATATTAACATATTAAACAGGGAAAGAAATGAAATCAAACATGTTTCTACAGCCGATTATGTGCATTTTCTTGTAAGAATAAAAAAGAGAATAAACATATTCACACAACAGTTTGTTCGACCCTTTGGTGTGGATTAAATTGTTTAAGTAATAATCGTAGTTTTGCAAAAAATAAATATCGTCACGAACAGGATTCGAACCTGTGCGGGGAAACCCCATTGGATTTCGAGTCCAACGCCTTAACCTCTCGGCCACCGTGACTGCGAGAGATAGTTATTAGAACAGCTCCATCTATTGATCAGTGTGTGAAAATGTGATTTTAGTGAACAAGTAAACGTCTTTTTTTATGGTGGATGAATAAAATATAGAAAATGTAAAAGGTTAAACTGTTTTAGAGGTAAAACTCGTATTTAGAATCCCTCTCGACATCAGTTCAAATAAACAAATAGAGGACAAAATAAATTATTTGGAAAACATACATCACTTTATTCGATAGAATAGCCAAACATACTCTTAAAGATGTTCCTAGTTATAGAGTTGGGTCTCATATTACATTTACATCGCTTGTTTTTTTCTTTCTTTTTTAATAACGCCAGATGGCGCTAGTGCATAGGAGTTTGTCATAGAGGGTGTGAATTTGATTTAACCACTCTTCACGTTGAAACATTCTAAATACGAGTTTTACCTCTAAAACTGTTTAACCTGTTACATTTTCTATATTTTATTTAATTCATCCACCATAAAAAAAGACGTTTATTTGCTCACTAAAATCACATTTTCACACACTGATCAATAGATGGAGCTGTTCTAACACATATCGCTCGCAGTCACGGTGGCCGCATTCCTAACGATTTGTTACAATTCCTAACACATTCTAAATAAGTCCTAACACTTCCGAACTAATTCCTAACACAAGTCCTAACAATCCTAACATCTAATGGTCTAAGTCCTAACAACTCCTAACAGGTCCGAACGGGGCAAAACAGCCATTGGCCGAAACGTAGTCACGTGCGAAGCCACATGATTACAGTCATAAAAAGAGCGGAAGCGCGCGGCTGACTAGTTTATAAAGGTTAAGGCGAATTTGATATTTTTTAAACGGAACATATTTTTAGTCTTTTTTGACGTTTTCGGATAACGTGGAGGTAAGTACAATAAAACACATAACATGGAAGAGAAGCGAGATTGTGATATAAATCGAGGTGGCCTTTTATATTGCAGCAAGTATTATTGTAAGTATTATTATTAATAGTAGTATTGTTATTATAGTTCTTTAAATTTGTATTTATGTCTTATACAAATTATAAAATGTCAAATTTGAGCTTTTGGAATAAAATATTTGTGGAAGTAAGTTTATATTAGTATTATTATTATTATTAGGTAGTTATTTAAATTTGTATTTACATACATCATTTTTATTATATAAAGGTCAGATTTTAAAGTTTATTATTATTATTATTATTATTATGTAAGTATTATTAGTAATATTGTTATTATAGTTCTTTAAATTTAAATGTGTGTGTGTGTGTGTGTGTGTGTGATTTTCATGTATATATTTGTATTCTTCAGATTATTATTATTGTATATGTAATTATTTCAATTTGTTTATATATTCCCTATTTATATTCCTTTGTATTATATAAATGATGCTGGATTTAAGCTTTTTTGAATAAACCTATTTGGTAGCAAGCATATAATATCTTCATTGATTTTTTTAAAACTAGTTATTCTTCTTCTATGATATGTTTAGAAAACGCAGATGCATGATATACTGTCAGCTTTGTAACTGATCCTTCTGTGCTTCTCTTGAATGAATACCTGAACAAATTAAAGGAGCCCTGGTGCTAAATTACAAAACACTGTAGTATTGATGAGCTCTGACGTTATCAGTTCTGCGTTCAGTACTGAAAAAAATTAAGAAGATACACTTACAATTTATTACTGGTACCTAAACGTTATCAAGCTAATTGCAACTGTTTCTATAGAATCAGAATCAGAAAGAGATTTAATGCCAAGTATGTTTGCACATACAAGGAATTTGTTATAGTGTCACAAGCTTCCAGTACACGGAGACAACAACAACACACAGATAATAAAAATAAGATGTGAATAAATTACACATGCATAAATATAAACCACAAAAAAAGAATAAATTGTATGTACAGGTGTGCTATAGATAGAATAGGAATATAATAAAATAAAATAAAATAAAGTTGTAGGGATGTACTAGGATTTAGGGTGATAAATAAGTATAAGGTTATTGCACATACTTTAATAGCACAATGGGAGAACATTAACTGTTCATGAGGTAGATAGCCTGGGGAAAGAAACTGAAAAAGAATTCTATTCTATTCCTATTCTATTCTATTCTATCTATATCATTCACAGCTGTACATACAATTTATTTTACTTTTCAATTAAATTTTCTGTTTTTGCTTATTTATATTTGCATATGTGTATTTTTATTCTCATGTTATTTTTATTGTCTGTGTGTTGTTGTTGTCTCTGTGCACTGGAAGCTTGTGACACTAAAACAAATTCCTTGTGTGCGCAGGCATACTTGGCAATAAAGCTCTTTCTGACTTCTGATTGTTATGTATGCATGTCATATTTGAGCTTTTGGAATAAACCGTATTTGTGGATGTATGTTTTGGATGTCTTATTCTTTCAATTTTACAAAAAGGAATATAAGGAGTTGTTTTGTGATGAGGTAAAATAGGTCGAAATATTGACTTTTTCTGTAATTTGTTAGTTAAAATAAGTGAAAAGGTGAAAAACTGAAATGCTCTGAAAAAACTGAAAAAGGTGAAATACTCTTTCAATTTAATTTGTTTCAATTAATTTTCCCCTTTTTTCCCCGTTATTTTTTGCACTTTCCCTTTATTTTTTTCCTCATTTCCCCTTTCCCCCTTGTTTTTTCTCTCATTTTTTCTTTACCCCCACCCATGGCAGTCCCTTTTGCCCCGTTCTATAGTTAATATGAATGTTAACAGACGAGGAATTTATAAATCAACAATTTACTATGAAAATGCGGGTGAGAAGCATTTGGCATTACTGATGTGTTTGTAAGGCCACTTAATAAGTCTTGTCATGTTCATATTCGACGCTTATATATTAATGTAATTAGAAATGGCAGGACATGTTATTTTTAAAAACGTATTGACCTTAAAATCAAAGCCTCTCCTGTAGGTTAGAGTCTATTTCTGTAAGGACTTTGAAAAGCATACTATAGATTCCAAGGAACAAGATAGATGCAAAAAGACATGGTTGAAATCTTTATTTATTTGCATTATAAGAATAATTTGAACAGAGCGTGCTTCAATAGCAACTTGGTAAACAGGTGTCACAGAAACGTTATGAGGTCTCTGCTATAACTGAGCCTTTTCTTTGGCATGAATCATAATGTTTTTAAAATATGATAATCAAGACGACATATAGCTCTCTTATATATTATGAAGTCATCGACACAATTAACATCTTCAGGGATATGCAAATACAGATGAGGGATTACAAGCATCAGCAAAAATTAGCTAAAGTTTGTTATATTTTTAAAAGACTCAAAAGAAGTAAAACCTCATCCCTTTTCACATCTGAAAGAGACATCCACCCAAAGCAAAGACACACACTTTTATGTTTTTGTTCAGCACTGGAATAGTGAAATTAAAAATATGCTCTAATTACTTGCGTTGTGCAGAAAAAAAAAATTATATCACAAACACAAAAATAGATTTCGACTTGTTACTATGTTTTATATTATAGCCTAATATGGACCAAACTTTTAGGAAGAAGTACTCTCATTGCTAAAATATTTGTCAGTGCTGTTTTTTTACTTTATCCTCTAACAGCACCATTTTATTTCTGGGTTTGCATGATAGCCAGTGCCGAAGTGTGCACAAATATCAGTAAATTGCATTTATTGTAAATTGATGAAGGTATTAGCCCATGGGGTTAGTCATTTCTCACATTTTGAAACTTCAGTTCAACACTCCAAACAGACTTTAACTTTTTTTTTGTACTTTTTCAGATCTCCACACTTCTCTGGCTTATTTGCATCCAACTGGGCTGATCGTCTCCTTCATCACTTTCAGAAATATGCCTGTAATCTAGACCTGCCTCACAGTGCCTGTTTCTCAGCCAGTATCAAGCCAACGGGAGCTTGAGAAATGGTCTCTGAAAAGAGCCATATATCAAAAGCAGGAACGCTTTCTGACTAGGGCCCGAGACATATGTGAAGCTCAGGGAAGATCAGGATCCCCCATATAAACTGCATTCCAGATTCAAAAGGTTATCACTATAAAGCAGAATTCTAGAATTCAGAAATTATATTTTTAGTTTAGTTTTTAGGGCAGTACACTTCCCACTTAGCTTTCTCACATCTTTTGGTCTCTGTATTTATGAGTTCACAGTATACATAGTGTTACTTGATTAAAACCAAAATGTAAAATTGAGTACATTACACATTTCTGATCAACACAGACATAGTACATGGAAGGAAATATGTGCTGTTTAATCTCAAAAACAAAACCGAATTGGACCAAGATTAGAAATAATCTAGGTTGCATGAAATCAATATCACGTTCAGGTGTGCACGGGCGATTCCAGAAGAGATGAATTGGATGAAAATCATGGGATAGATGGAGTGCAATTGGCATCCGTTGACTCCTTTGGCTGTAAGCGATTTGTTTTCCTTTGCCAACCTTCTCAGCTGACAGGTAAGCACCACCAGAGGAAGACAGAGTGTGCAGTAATACCAGCTGGAGTGGGTTTCTCACAAGCGGAAGGTTTGTAACAGACTGTTGGATTAGATGAACTGATAAGACTGCTTTCACATTCATTTCTGCTAAAAGACTAGGGACTAACACAGCGATATGGGATTTTAAAGCAAATGTCATATACTTCATGTATTTTGCCTTTGAATATACTGTATTGTAAGTCTGTATTTAGTGCGGACAGGGCAGATGTCTGGGTTCATGGCAGGGATGGCTGGCACTGATAAGGGAGAGAGTTTTTTTTTTTTCAGCTTAGGAGGATGTCCTGGGGCTGGATTGGAGGGTCAGGACATTAGGATGCTTGGCCTACAGCAACACCCTCTGCTTGGCCTGCAGCTGCAGCTTCTGCTAGAGGACTGTCTTCACTCTGCACTCTTTCTTTTCCATTTTCCTCCTCTCCTTCCTCTTCATCCTCTCCCTGTAAAGCATTGTGGGACACCTCTATCTGGGAGGCGTCCTGGGGCAGGGTCGCAGAAAGAGCATACTCCTCGCTTACTTCTGTGATCGACAGCTCAACCTCGGCTGTGCCATTCAGGATGTTGGGCACCTCCTCTTTCTCCATTGCTTCCACAGCTGCCTTTACTTCCTCCTGTGCTGGTGCAAGTTGGGAGTGGACCTCTTTGAAGGACAGGTCTTCAGTTGGGCTCTCAATCGGGGCCAGTTCGATGGAGGCAATGGCGCTCTCGGATTGAGCTGAGGCCTCAGCCTCTGGTTCAGCATCCCCACTGCGGTTCTTCTTGATGTTGAAGGTGAGAGGAGAGACCTTGAAAGAGGAGCTCTTGGCACTAGGGTTCTTCTGGTGGTTCGGTGTCAGACTCTTCTTGATTTTCTCACGCTTCTCTGGGGACACAATCTTGGTGCCGATCTTGTTCATCTTCTTCTCGATATTCTGCCTGGAGAAAGCTTTCTTCAGGCTGTCCACTTTCTTCAGACTGGAGCGCTTGATCTTCTCAGCTCGAGATTTTTCAACTCTGGTTTCACTCTCGAGGTCCAAAGCAGCCAAAATTTCATCGTCGTCCTCTTCTGGTCCCTGCTCCTCATCCGAGGAGAGGGCGATGGTCTGAAGGCCCTCCTCTTGAGAACGGTTGGCATCAATGGTCGGGGTCGCCTCCTCCACTTCAGATAATGGTGCAGGTTCCTTCACAAAGACACTTGAAGGGATTTCATTTTCCTCCTGCACAACAAAAAATGAAAAAAGATCTAATAAATTATTCAGTTCACATACAGCATTATTTTCACTCCACATATGATTGCCCTTAAGACACAGTTCTGCCAAAATTGGTGCTCAGAATTTTTAGATTTCAAAATCTTTGTTATTGTAATAGGCAGTGGTTTCCCACTTACTAATGCCACAGAAGAATCCAAGTCAGTGCTGAAATTGCTTCCTACAAGATTTGTATTTTTTTGCCTAGACAACTGGAGTGTAAGAATGTTGATGATACATAGAGCAGTCATGTGTTGGTGGGAGATATCTTTAATCGTTTCTACATAACATCATACTCTATTAATGCCTTTCAGAAGGTCTTAAGATAATCGAAATGCCTTTTAGAAAAGGGTAAAAGCTTTATGGTGAGGTCCATAGCTTAATAGAAAATTAAATGAATCTAATGTAATACTTAAAATGAACAAGAAAAAAAAAGAGAGAAGCCGCTGTCTCTGGTACTCTGAAAAGTCTCTAAAAGCCAGTTTCCTGGCCGGATCAAAACAACAGAGAGAAAAAAAACTCTTCTTAAAATGTACAACAGGACACCTTCAGCCAATGGTTTGTCTGGCTTTGCAGGGGCCATTATGAAGGGGTTTAAACTAATTAATTACTTGTTGCACTTAGAAGTACAGTGAGCTGTCAAAGAGCTGTCAATGTCCTTGACCACACAATTAGGTTTTATTATACTTTCAAGAATTTGTCTTTTAAAAGAATATACAGTGTCACAAACATCATCAAGGTCATTATGCTCAGCTTGTAATATGAAGCACTATATGCAGTGAAGTTGAGTAGTGGATGCATGCTTTTTAAAATGACACAAGGGGACAAGATCATCTGTTGTGAAAAACATTGTGTACCGACCCACTTTTCCTTTCTGGAGACAATCATAAAGGCTGAAGAATAGTGAGACGATAGGAAGGAAGGCCAGGCATGACCCTACACAACTCATATCAGAGTTTCCACTGAGTTTTGGAAGACAGCCAGGACAGAAAGAGAGAGAGAGCAGGGCAACTGGAAAAAGAGAGAAAGCAGGGAAGTCTGGTGTAGGGCTTTGAAATGGAGTGGGATGAGGTTCAGAAAGCATTTGGGGTGGAGTGCAGCAATACCTGGACAGAAGCCCTGTTTGCCCCCCACCCATCAGAAAGTTCCATGGCATGTCAGAAATGCGCAGGAGAGCCTGAGAGCCTCTCTCTTAGCGATAAGACTCTAAATTCTAATATAGATGAGGTCATGTCACATAGGAAACCTCCCAGTTAATCACTTTAACTGTACTGTTTAGATACAGTCTGAAATGTAAGCACACACAATATAGGAATGCAAATACCCCCTTGTTTGGGCATATATGTTCTCTTAGGGCTCAATTATGAAGGAAACATTATTGCACTATTTTTTAAATAGTTTTTCTTATGTGAACTAAACTGTTGCTTATTTCTCAGTAGAAATAGCATCATGGACATTTAAATTGACGTTCGTTGAAATGATCATTTATGACTCCCAACTGACTCTTCGCCTGGAGTTTGATTGACAGGTGATCTGACCAATCATAACGGCGAATCTGCCATTTTGTCCGACAAACAAACCATAGAGTAGATTAACATCGGTGGACTTAACCATGAAAAATGGTGCGTATTGACGTCTTTCTGCAGTTGAAATAAGATACCTTCTGATGTTCATTCATGTTTATTTTGTGCTATAACTAGTAAAGAGGAAGAGAGGCACTACAGCGATCTGTCACGACACATTAAAGAGACACAAAACTCTTTAGTATAGGGGCCAATTCTCACTATTAAGTAGTTGCTTATTAGCATGCCTATTATTAATATATTGGCTGTTTATTAGTACTTTTAAAGCACATATTCTGCATGACCATAATCTATATCCCTAATCCTACCCAATACCTAAACTTAACAACTACTACCTTACTAACTGTTAATAATCAGCAAATTAGGAGTTTATTGAGGGAAAGGCCGTAGTTAAAGGGGTCATATGATGCTGCTAAAAAGAACATTATTTTGTGTATTTGGTGTAATGAAATGTGTTTATGCGGTTTAAGGTTCAAAAAGCACATTATTTTCCACATACTGTACATTATTGCTTCTCCTCTATGCCCCGCTTTTCTGAAACGCCTGATTTCTAGTCGTGTCCTCTTTTGGAAGGCCAAACAAAGTAGTTTCACTTTCACAACGAAACACAGCGTCACACATGGCGGGCTAGAGTGAATAAGTTAAGAGTCAACCACGCCGTTTTAGGTAGGTGTGGCTGACTCTTAACTTTTATAAAGAATATCTCTTTGGATTTGAGACTTTAGTCTTTGCAACTTTACAGATCTTCTTTATGCACCAAGAGCTTGTAACACTCCAAAGAGAAAGGAAAAATTGAAATCGCATCATATGACCCCTTTAATGGTTTGTTAATGGCGAGAATTGGGCCTTAAAATAAAGTGACTGAATTTCTTTATAAAAAAATGACAACATTTTAAAGCTTGAGATTTTGTTTCATACCAAAAGTAACCTGCTCTGTCTTGTCTGTCGGTGTGTTGTCAATGTCCTCTTTGCTCCGTGATGTATTTTTCACTGTGTGAGAACATTATGTGTGGCGTGAGAGCGCCATGGCTTGTCGGACATAGCAACAGTAACTAAGGGAGGTGGGTCTTTGCGAATGGTCAATTGCTTCATCAAGTTCTATTTTATTCTTTTTATATCTTTTTATATTTTTATCCAAAGCTCACACACAGAATTGAGATATAATAAGCAGCGAAGGAAACATCTAAGCTGCCTTCGAAAAGCAAACAGATGAAGGTACCTTAGTAGAATGTTATGCAAACATTGAATTTGAACATGCCTTGATCATTCTGGTATACTGCCTGCAAAGGGATAGAAAGGTTGTGTTCCTCTCTGAACTGCCTGTTGTAACTCTGGCCTCTGAAGCTCTCTGTGTGCGAGGGAATGAGGGTTTGGCCTGTCAAAGTGGAGGAATATGTTTGACCGAACAGAACAGAACTAACAAAAAGGATACATTATGACTGACGGTAATCCCTGTGGATATATGCAACGTGCTAAACCAGGGCTGAAATACCGCTTTTGGGATTTAGCAGATCTGTTCACCCACGAAAGAGCTTTACTTTGGACAGCAAATATGGATCAAAGGTATTGGTATGATTTTGCTGGCACAGTTTAAGAATGAATCTGGCCAACTCCCTGCAAACTTTAACATAGAATTTCCATGCGCCATCAGTCTCTGATCAGAGTTACCAGTTAGTAAACTTCGATACTTGGACTTAGAAACAAAGCTTTAGAAAACAGAGTGACATAACATTGTTCATAATTGTATATTTGCATTTAAGGATCATGAAAGCAAAGTATTGTATGTTTGTATTGTTTCCCTCCAGCTGCTTTGATAAAGTAGAGTATGAGTCACTTTTTGTTGTGATGGGATTGTTAGAGGGTTTTTTTTTGGCAAGGTGCAGTTTTTCATGAACCTCCTGACTATGACACAAGTAGAATGTGTTTAAAATTAAACATCAAGAAATGGGTGTAGAGATGCCAGATGATAACGTTTTGGGAATCAGAGGAATCACAATGGAAATTAAGTGTTTCACTTCAGTATTTTAAAGTTAAAATTGTAACCATAGCAAGAACAAATAAACAGTTATCCTCCTTCAGTGTCATATTTAGAAATATTAGTATTAGTAAAGGCAATACCATGACATATAATTAATAATTTAGATAAAATATATATTTCCCTCGATTACAATAAATAAAATACAATAAGGATAATGAATGAAATAATGAAATGGTTTTGCATTAAAGTAATGGTAAAGTTATTATTATTATTATATTTGACATTGTGGTGAAATAAGAATATTGTGAGGTTCAAGATATTCACCCTAAAGATCTATTATATATATATTTTTTGTAGTATTTATTTGGCAAAGCTTTAAAAATAGGTTTTATGGCTCAATTTACTCAACTCAGAGGAGTCAGTGCTGAGTTGCTGTGTTGTTTGGATGCCTCTGATATTGCTCTTTGTTTACATTTGTTTGTATTTGCATGTTTTCAAGTACTGTACTCAAGACTGTATAGTTGGCAATCCGTAGCTCAAATTGCCAATTTGAAAAGGAAGAGGGAAAAGGTGCTGAGGCACTGGACTAGCCTGAGTGGCAAGAAGAGTGTCTATCAACAGTCATTAAATCACTTTTTAGTCGTAACTGTATATATACAGCAATGTCAGTAACTCACAAATCCCCAGCATGTAGGAAAGTCTCTAAGAAGTGTTGACATACGTGACAGCAGCTTGCGTAATTGTACTCTTTAAAGTGAACAGTTTCTCTTGACTTAACTTGGTTAACCAGGTTCAGGCTTGTCCCCGGAACCTGTGTATCTTAAATGGCTTAATATGAACAGCTTATGCTGATGGCAAAAACACAAAGTAACATACACCCCTCAAATTATTAAATACAATAGATCAGCTATACAAACAGGTTAAAGAATTCCCCCTTACAGCCTCCAGAGACACAAGTTCCTGTCATTTTCTCAGTGGGGAACCAAACAGTTCATTCCATGCATTCTGCCTTTTAGGTACGAGATCTGGAAATGACTTGTAAATGACTATAACCTCCTCTACATCTACACTGTCTTCATATTCTAGTTGTGTTCAAATTTTTTGGACTCTCTTAAAATATGTTTTTGTCACTAAAGATCATGATTACCTCACGTTGCGCAGCCTGTCAAATGATACTCTAGGCTTGATTCATTTGCGTACTAAACTGGCTCTTGCCTCAGGCAATGTAGGCACTTATGATAGCCGAGTTGATGTATGATTTTTCATATATGCACGAAAATATAAGGAGATCTCACAAGGCGTAAATACAGTTTCTGTTACAGTTTATGGAATCAATTTTTAGAGAGAATGTTTTAGTAAACAGTTTGAGTTTGAGTTTGAGTCAGTGCACACAATGCATGCTTTGTGCC